ATTACAAAGCTCAAAATGAAATAAAACAGAAACTTTCGCTACTCAGCTCCACTGAGAATGTTCTACAGATGTTCGACAGCACAAATGAATTCCACAGGAAAGGAAGATTTGTAGTAAACCAGACCTAGTGTATACAGGGTGTCCCAGAAATTACTTGCGCATTGTTAAGGAAGAACTCCATTGCCAATCCTATCATACGCCGAAGTGCCAATTCATTCTGTACAGCAACAAGCAGCAGAGAGGCCAAAAAGTTGGAAGGTTACTAGCGCGCTTCACTGGCGACACGCAACTCTCGATCGTTTTTTCTGACGAGAAAATATTCGCTGTGGAGCCGTGTTGATGCCAAAGCGATCACATTTAGTGAAAATATCGAGAGTGTGATCTCACGAGGAAATATTGTTGGAGGAACGGATCCAACATCAGTAATCGTTTGGGTGTGAGTCGCGACCAACGGTGGGATGCCGCTGGTTTTTCTCGATCAGTGTGTGTAGATCAAAGACGTGCATACTGGAGAACGTATTGAAGCCTTGGTCCAACTCCCACCTTTGGGAGCAAGCCGTGGTGTTTCCAGCAGGACAGCGCCACAGCCGAAGAGCCAAGCTCGTTCGAGACAGCTGCGAGCTGCGAAATGCAAAGTTCGCCGTTGCGAAGAATGGTCCTCCTGTAATATCAATTATTGAAGTCCCAGTCTGGTCCGTGATTAAGAACATTTTGAAATCTGGTCGTTGCATGATGTTGTGTATGATGTTAGTATAATTAGGTTACATTCAATTGTCATTCTGTGTCCAGAAGTTGAAAGACATTGCAATGAGTAGGCGCAAGTAATTTTGGGACACCCTGTATATCTGTGCGGTCGACTACAAAGCCCTTAAACACCAACAACAGTCCCGTGTGGACCACGTCGTTTATAGTTTTGTCATGGTGTGATCTATAATAATAGAGTGCATGCGAGAAATTCGGAAAAGAAGTCGCGTTTGGCAAAAAAGACTAGATGATTTGGGTGCGAAGCGTGTGCGCATTGGGCAGTCCTTCGCTGCCCCAAATGTGGAGCGCATAAGCACCGTGCTATTGCCAGTCTATTTCCTTCTGCAGTTTCCTGTTCGAAGGCATAGCTCAAAGATATTTGGGGTAGGACACTTCCATCTTTCCATCTTAAAAGTGCTTTATTTTTGCTCGCAGTATTGATTGTAAGCATTTCAGGGTTGCCATCGAAGTTGTTTTCAAGCAAGTCTTATCCGAAGTTGCTCGTGTGGAGATCCACGCTTTCCAGTAACGGAATCGAGCAGGCATTGTTCGGCTTTCAATGCAACAGCTCGTATGTTTCGTCTTTATTCTTTCATGACTTCTTTCACACAGATACATCTATTATATTTCAGGTGAATGTTTACGAGAATTCATTGGTGATTTCGGCGATTTTCATTTTGTCGCTGAAGAACTGGACTGCGATTGTAAACAACGATGTAAGGAAGTCGCATACGATGTCACATTTTCAGCGAGTCGATTGTCGTCCGGTGCAGTTGGTGTATGTTAGCAACTTTGGCTGAGATCTTGAAATATCTGCCGTTGAGTGGTCTTATGAAACCATCTGGCATTTCATCGGGTATTGAGAGGATGGAATGGCACTCAATAGAACGATCAATCCATTTTTGGCATGGCGCCACGCACTACACAAATTGCAATTATTTTGGCTGAGATTTGATTTACACAATGGCTTGAGGGGTTTTATTCGCTCTAGGAAGCCTGGAGCCAGACGGTCGACTCCGGAGGGATGAAAGACTTAGTTGGGCTGAATTATTTTGTAAATAAACGATTAAGTTCGTTGAACCATGCAGAGTACCCAAACTGCAAAATCGCTTGGCCAAAGTCAAAGATACGTGAGATGAAACGATCTAGAGGGTTCAGGATTCGACCAATGTTTAGTGCGCATGTACGGTGCCACGTGCCCCTGCGACGCCTCCGCCTTTTGCCTATGCATACAGTGCCTTGACAATCCGCACCCTCACAAGTACCACAATCAGGCTTCATCGATAGTCACGAAAAAAAGTCTTGACATCGTTATTAACATACTCGGAAACTTGTGTGGAAGTGCCCTTGTGCAAACTGGAGAAGAGTGGACCACTTTCAGCAGTCGACCCCTACAAAAAAAGAGCGAAAATTACGTGCGCCATAAAACACGTCCTAACTTTATTTTTTGCGCACAAAAATTTCAAAGCAGCCAATTTCATAAAACATCAACCCTTGGCATATCATAACTGCAAAAACGATTCAGTTTTGATACGGACCTCAATTTGTTTCTTCAGCGAGTCGATGGTGCGGCGGATGTTCTGCGCATATTTCATTCCAAATTTTAGGCAGTTCTTTTCAGAATCACAAAACTTTTTGCATTTCGATTCTTTAGTAGTTTTTCAATAAAACCCAAACAGAGAAGTCTAATGAATCCGAATTCGGGCTGTAAGCAGATCACGAATCCGTCGCCACAAAACAGCCGATACTGGTCTCGAAGAAGTGGATCGTTGTATTGGTCCATGGGCCCGAGCGCATTCCTGTAGAAAGACAGAATGTTATGATTCTACTTCCAGGGGCAACAGCTTTCTCAAGGATCCCTTCTTGATAGACCTTTCCATTGATTTCCGCGCTTTTATCCATAAAAACCTGTGGAGGCCCGCCTGAAGCACTGATCCAGCCTCAAATCATCAAATTTCCAGGGAACAAAATTCTTGTGGGTACTTTTCATTTACGGATGTTACCAAGAGCTGTTAGAAAAGGTTAAAGGTGATTCTGAGAGTTTTAAGGCACATAAACGGTGAACTTTCATTTGTGAAACCACAGGGCATCCTAGGATCCCGAAAAAATCCGCAACTTCTTATATTTTTCTTTCCGATCTTGCTTTGCTTGAACGGTGGAAAACTGATCCGTTTGATATGTGATAACATTCCATTCAGCGCTTTATTTTGGGTGTCATCTGAACAAATTTTCGGGGAAGTTTACATGCTTTCGTGCACTCACTCTTATTCAAGCCCAGGTCGTTTTTATTATTTCTCTTTATCAAGGATTTAGATATTACTTGAGGATTGTTAGCAAGGAGCTTGTAACGCAAAGTGAAAGTTGTCATGAGGTTGTTTTACAGGCCACGATAATTCGGTTTGAACTATGTGATCTTGTGTGACTTATCAACAGGCGACAGTGCTCCTAGTGCGTATTCGCTCGCTCAAAAATAGCGCGCATTCTATCACATAGTCGTTTTGTATCGCTGTGTGTACGCGTTGTAACGCGGTGATCGGGAATCCATTGCAAACTTTGTTGGTTAGTAATCTAAATAATCTTAGTATTCTTTTCATTATTTTGACCCCCTTAGTTGGAATAGTCTATCTGCATCGAACACTTTCTTTCTTTCGGCGCCGTGGGAGTTCGCAGTTGTCTGGTTGCTGTATGACCTCTTATTCAAGCCGGTCGTTGTTTATTGTCAATTCGATTCAGACTATATTCCTAGTACACAGAGTTATGTCATTCTGCTGCAGTTACTGAAAGGGTGTTCTAGGCTCGTGCTGGCTGGTAGAGCATTATACCTTAATTTGAGAATTCTGTCATACAGCGATCGGTGGTTTGATTATGGTTTCACTCTGGGTACGTATTTTTGATGTTTACTGTGATTATTTCAATAGTTCCTCCGTGGTACTACAATGAGATACGATTTCGAGGCTAGGAACGGCAGACTCTCTGATAACAGAACGTACCGGAATACTAAGGGGCAATTTATCAGGTAGCTTCGATCTGGCCTGGAAGTGTTTGAGTCGAGTGTGGCTCACGCGCTCATTCTCTGTGTCTACGACTCCGTGTGGCGCATAAGTTGACGTGCTAATTCTTAGTTCGACACCGGAATTCCTGCGGACAGTTGATGTTGTGGTGTTTTATCCTCGGGTGTTTCTCGCGCTGAAGAGATAATGTTACTTCGTGATAAGCCGTGACAATGACCATTGGATCTTGGAGTAGGTGAGTGGGATCTTCCATAGCGAGGAAGCTCGACTGCATGGCATGATAGAGGTCGATAATATTGCTAGTTATTGAGTTCATATTTCGTGGTGGATATGAGCGGTATGTGCTATGCAGTATAATACAGAGGTTATCTCGAATTTCTCCGCTCGTGACAAATGGTGGGATTGACTCGTTCATTCTCGGTTAATCCTCCTTCCTTTATCCTCTCGTGCCACGCGACTATAATAGAACCTATGTTTGCAGAGGAATATCAATTAGGACTAGTCATTCGCCATCATCTTCATTTTCGGATATATATACTATAATGGGTAACTCTGGTATTCGCTGTGTGCATTCGGATTTGAGTGACGTTTTACTGGTATTTCGCTTGACATTGCGAGCTCTGGGATTCCTTCAGGGTCCGGACTTTGTGTTTTTGACTCAGCTGTTCTCTCATTAGTAGATGGTTTGATATTTTGTTTGACAGTTGCATGGAATAGTTAATGCATATAGGCCATCAGTAGACCCTTAAAAAGACGACAAAAATTACGGTGCGTAACTCTAGTTGGGGGCCAAGCCCAACTATGTTAGCACCAAATTACTGATTAAGAGGTGTGACACGCAGGGCGAAAGACCCACTGTGGTGTCACAACCTGATTTTCACAGTTTTTTATGATAACGTCTATTGGTTAAGGTTTAGTACTAGTTCCTTATTATAGAATATCAAACTAGTTCATTCATTGCTAACTCGCATTGTTGCGCGGATTTATGGATAGTATCAACTGCAAAAATTCAAAACTTTGTTCACCAAGGACGGAATTCGAGCTAGGCGACCTCTATTTCTGGTTTTTAGAATGCCATTTAGGCAAAATTAAAAATTAAAAATTAAAAAGAAAAAGAGCCTGTGGGCTCAAATTTGGAGTTGTCTACGACCTGCCCTTTTTATGTTCATAATTTGTAACCACTCTATACCCTGAGTATGACTGATAGTAGCTACCTCAAATGATGAAGCACCTCACACGTCTTTTTAGTGAATCAGAGGGATGTACATTTTTTTGCGACTGGGACATCTGACGTTATAGAAACATTATGGTGCTTACGTATAATTAGAAACAAAAAATTCTAGCTATTTCAATGCGATGATATGAACGACACGGAGTGCCAGAATTACTACGACGCTAACGCAGCACTGGTTGAGGTAGGTTTACTCTGTAAAACATTGGTCAGCATATGGTTGAACGTATTTTTAGGTATTTTTCGAGCAGCTTAGCTACGATTTGATTCAAGAATCAGAAGCATATGGGTTTGTGAATCTTCTTGCTGATTTCGGTGGACATCTTGGCCTGTGGCTGGGTTGGACCGACTGATTGATTATATAATCAAAACTATATGTTTCTAATACAATTTTCAGGTTTCTCTGTGATAACGCTGATTGAGGTGGTAGTATTGCTTCTGGAACTGATACCCATTCTGTTGCGTCGAAGAAATGAAGCGTCAGCGAGGAACGACTGATAAAATTCGCTCCTTTCAGAACAAAAAGGACGAATTCGCTCACTCTTATAGTTGTCCGTGATGACGACATAAAGTTGCATTGTATGAGATTTATTCCAAGATGATAAACACGGTTTCTTATCATTGCAATCCTTGCATAAGACTAGTAAGAGAACATGCTTATGAAAGGTTTTCTATGAAAGCGCTTTGGGCCATGATCATCTAAATCTGTCGTACCAATATGTTCCGGCTCCATGGAATAGCTCACCGGCGGCTCCGCCCCGCAGCCACTTCATTCAAAGGTACGCTCCGCTATTAGACCACCAGAGCATCACCTTCACTGGGTGGAATATAACTGTTTGCGAAAATCACGCATGCGACGTTCACTCAACTTCAAAATGTGCAATTCAGGCGCTAGAGCCTCGCAGCCTTACCAGCGCTCACTTAATGGCCTTGCAATGCTTACCTATCCCCTATGCAAAGGCCGTATCTCTGTGCCCTCTCGCACAGCTTGCTCTCTCGCGTACTCCTCCCTAGCATCAAACTACGGTCAACCTTACTAGGGAGAAGAAAGTTCCTTATCTCCTGTTTTTGATGATTTTTATGCTTTAATCTTCACTACCGATTCTCGTAGTACCTCGGATTTCATTTTCAATCAGAATAATATATTCAAAAATTTAGCGGAATATGCCTTCAAATTCACCTGTGTTACAAAAACGGTTGTTGGGAGAATAATGTTGCAACAACCTTATGTATGACTTCTTTATACAATATGTTATAGCCAATTACTTGCAATATATTGCAACATTTCTGAAGAATATCAAGACAGGGCGATGAATGTATTTTCTCGGTGAGCTACTCGCAGCCGGGCCCTGGAGCCACACATCCATTCGGTCCACGTTTGAAGCCCTGTTTGCACTGGCATACGTTCACAATACATTGCAGTGTGCAGAAATCTGGCGCTGGCTCATTACATTTTGGTTCACATGCAGTACCGCAACTCATGAACTCCTCATTTGGTCCACATTGGTTTGCTGAAAACGAAATGTATGATGACGGACGAGGATTCCCTGCACTATTAAGAACAACACTGAGTGTACATGAAGTTGAGATTTTTTCTCTATAGCTATGAGGTGGACCAAAGACAATCCAAGCCATTGAAGCCATCAGTTTCTTCGAATAGGTCAAACGGTTCCACACGTGTTTGGTAAGATAAAACACTCTAAAGTATAAGTCTTCCTATGTGCAGAGTCAACCCTGCGTTGCGCAGTTCGCAACGGCACGTTGAGAGATCCTCAACGCACGCTGTATGGGCGGAGACACAGACGGCTCGAGCATGCGAGTGTGAATGTTCGCGCGAGAGAACGTGTCTAATCGGGCGAAACTGCGCAACGTGGCCGTTGAGAACTGCGCAACGCAGGGTTGACTCTGGTATTGCTAAAAAACATCTGAAAAGCAACTACGAACGGGCAGCAAAAAACCGAAAGGCATGGACGGTACTTAGAAGATTCGAAACTTAGAATATCATTCTGAAAAATGTCCCTGTTCCGATGTACTTTTAACGTCCATCCCTTCCAATCAAATTACTTTTTACAATGTTACACGAAGTTGCTGTTAGGTTCCACTGAAAAGCTTCCCAAAAATTTTCAAAACGTTTGAACTCACCACTCAATGCAAAAGCGAAGAGGAATGCGAGCAGGACGAGCTTACGGATCTGGAATTCTCGCTCACTACTCGAAGGCAGTTTGCCAAAAAGTTGGAACTTTGTTCATTCCTTCTATTGGAACAACTGGACGCTCTTGAGGACCCTAGAATGCACAGGCAACGCATTCTACATTAGACTTCACCTGCCCCTCTCCGCCATTTTGGGGGACAGGCAGAGCAGGGCGTTCACGCATACAGTGTCAGCGGAAATCACGGGTGGAACAAGGGGTTCCGTCGCCGTCAGTTTTGGGCTTTTTTAAACCCTGGTTTTTCTTCCATTGCTAACCACTACTAGCACCCCTTTCTTCATTTGGGACACCGGGCGACCGATTACCATCACAACCTGGCCTTAGTTGAGTACGTCCGCAAATTAACAAAAAAGTAGTAGCAATAAAGATCAGCTAGATTTAAACGCTTAGTAAGTATTTTTCCTGATTCTGAACGTGAAATTTTGAAAAAACACTGCATTCAATATTGAACGAGTTTTTCTCTGCACAACCAAGTCATCTCAATTTGAAACGAAACCACTACAAGGCCGCCTGAGATGATAACCATTGGGAAAACAATGGTGAATCATGCTGGGTTCCGAAAGTGTTGAACTCCTAATGGATTAATTTTTGTTGCCGCAGGTGATTCAAAGGCTGGTCAGGCAACACGGACCTGTTTTGAGCGTGAAAGAAACGAATTCTGCGCAACAGCGAGTAATCGCGAGATAGTGTCGAGGGAAAAAAGGTAGAATTGCTGATCTCGCGCAAAAAACTTCCTATCACGTACAATAGACATACCTGTACACGGCTGACTCCAATGATAGCTCGACCAGGATTACGAACATCGACGGAAACTGTAGGGTAGAGCAGAGTAAACGATCCTTTACAGTACTGCAGCTACTTTGACTTAAAGGAATCTTCCGCGGAAAAAAGCTCCGCCTCCATTACCCTAGAAAAACGATACCCCTTAGGCCCCTAGCCTCATGAGCATAGCAAAAAGGAACGGAAGCATAAGTGTTAGTTTCGATAATACTAATCCTACACACAAGACAAAATGATCACTCTTTCCGTGGAAGATTCCTTTAAGGTATCGTTTTCTGTGGTAATGGGGGCGGAGCTTGGCTTCCGTGGAGGATTCCTTTAACATGTGTACGCACGATTTTTGCCAAACGACCTCTTGGCAAGGGACCGAGAAACACTGAAAAAGCAGATTTTTGGAAAAACTCACCATTTGTGCAGTGGTAGCGTTCGAAGTTCAGTCGGAGACCGTGTGTGTTGTAAAGTCTGCGCCGCTTATATTGTCTGGGTGTGACCTTTGTAGCATGAAAAAGACCGAAAATCGCTATGACCAGCGACTCTCAGCACTATCTTTAAACAACACCGCCAAAAAAGCCTCCTCTTTCATATTTTCCTGCGAATGCCAAATCAATGGCCATACGTCACCTAATGTTTATATATTACCTACCCATTAGCCTCTAAATATATCCTTGTTGGTTCACTATTGAAACGGTTGACTAACATGCTGGGTCAAAATTGCCTTTATGGCGCTCATTAATGGAGAGGGTATGACGTGAGTCTGAGCCTCATCATGCAGCTGCGCTCTCTTTTCACCCACCCGAAACCTCACATACTGTTGACCCAGCCGTGAAACAAGCGCCAGTGTTCAAGGTCCTATTCGGAAGATCTTTCATGTTTCCCCAGCTCGCGCTGACGATAGATAGTCGTGTTGGCCCAGAGAATATGCGATCACTGTTCAAGTAGTCTACTGAGACCAACTCGTCGAATACAGCAACAACCGTGGCATTTGGGCCTGTTTACTACATAGCTATTGATTTTATGCGAAGGCCCGAGGTTTTATATTCTGACATTACTTTATCAGCATAACCTAAAGACACGAGTTGCGATAAAATTGTAAGCTATTTTGCTCGGAAATAAGGCGAGAAGTGGGAAGAGGAACGCTGGTGGAGAAAAAATCCCAAAACGAAAGAAAAAATCAATCTTCTCGAGGTAGACAGTGGTACGGCGCATAGACAGAGCGCTGCGAGGAGAGGGAAAACGGGGAGGACGTCGCAGCAGGAAGGCGCAAACGCCACGCTTTCCGCGCATGATAAAAATGGAAGCGGTCGCAGCGGTCAAGTGAAGGTGGTGGTTCTCTTATCGCGCACTTCCAACTCGCGACAGTACCATTTCTGTGATTAGGGATCCTCTTATCTCACTCGAAGAAGGAGTTCCTCTTTGTAGATCTCAATTATTTCTATAGTTACTACTATATCTCGTATTATTATGGTGCACCGCTGCACATAAATTTAGCCTAAGCGCTATCTCTTTCACCCACCGCTACAATCATCAAGTCTATTTCAACCATAATTCAACATATCACTCGACAATCAGTCCCTAGTTCCACAAATGCATCCAGATACACAAAGAACTATGCCCTCTTGCTCTGTCAAAAAAAAGAGATTATCACGCCAAGGCTCTGTCCTCCATATGCAAACCTTCTCGCGCGTCCGAAGACCACTCTGTCAGCACACACGATGTAGGCAGGACCAAGAGATCGCATTCATCTGAATAACGCAGTTGATGCTTCCACGTGCGCGCTCGCTCTATATCGTTCTTACTATTGAGTAGACTTTAATCGCAATCGAGCATCTAATTTCGACTATTTCATAACTCTATCATCCGCATTTCTTCTGCACGTTAGCATGTGTACTTTCCCACGCCACAACACTCATCAACTCTCAAGCTGAATCCTCTTGCAGGTGCATCGCCTGATAATGTTGCCGTTCAAAGACGCACTGCCTCCCAAACTGCGTTACTTGTCTTACTTACCAGTCCCCAAAAACAGCCTACCCTGGCAACCTCTGCCACACTCACGTTTCTCCGCTTGTTACGTGAAGAGTCTCTTGTTATTGGAATGACTTCACGTTAACTCTACACAGTGACGCCGTTTATCGTATGACAATTAACTCGTAGACTTTCAAGGATGCCAGCGTTTGTTATGAATCGACAAAAGCTATCTGCAGTGACATGAATACTTGAGCTTGTAATTAGCGCGTAATCGATATGAATCTGAGTTTTCCTATCGCACTCCTATCATGCTCTATCACCGCCGATATGAACGAACTATTTGAAAGACAACGCGTTAGCATCGAAAGTTTGGAGAATCTCTGTAGTACAGATACCATCAGGTGGCGTGGTCGAAACGACTGCAATCCCCATCCGCCCGATTCTGAACCAACGCCCTTTCAAGCTTCTGCCTATCGCTTTCCAAGGTGAGTTTTCCCTCAGTCCACACTCTCTCATACCCGTGTGGCGTCGAAATCACATAAAGCGTTTCGAATACAGTGCTGCCGCTGAGATATCGAGTAACCAACAGATCGAGGGACTGCGCCGTTTGCGACCTCGCCCACCCTGCTGGGACTGTTGCTTTGAGCTGACAACTCTTCCAGTCAGCAAGCAGATTAGGGGTCTATCCAAATCTATGGTTTTCAGACACTCTTTGTTTCTCCTTCACCAACACACCATTCGTCATTAACTCTGCTACATATATACCACCATATACTTTATGTGATACGCTACTTTAAGTCAAATGATTCCTTCTACTTTCGGTGCTGCTTGTCACACAATCCAACACCATCAGAAGAGTTTCAATTCCGAAACATTTTCGAAATTCGTGAATCTTCATTAACCATAGAACTCCGGGTAAGCAGAAACCGGATATCAATGTAAGTATAAGAGTGAGGGAAATTGAAGGTGAACTAAAACCACTTCAGTTAAGCAAGACACACTACATAAAAGTGAAACAGTGAAACTCAAACGTCATCAAATCGTCACACTAAAACTTCCTAAGAACTTTGGCCTGCTACAGAACAGACAATCAATTTCAAAGAAAACTTCTTAAGTAGTAAGTGTATACGGCGAAAAATTATTAACCAGGATTATTATTAGGAATAAACGTTCAAATCGAAGAGGTGTGAGTTTTTAGATCGACAAATCTTGTATGCAATAAAACGGTATGTTTTTAAAACACCTAGACAATAGAAGTGATTAAACCAAGGAGAGGAGACACACAGTCCCACAGATGAATTTCTAATCGAAAAACTGGGTTAAAAATGCTACTTCGTAAAACTATGACCAATACTTCTGAAGGTAAAACAAGCCCTGAATAAAACACGTTGGACGAGAATGAAAATTATGATGAATCGTCGTCGTAGTTGAGGCGAGGCGCCACTTCAAGTGTCAAAGAGGGGAAAAGACGTGGCTTACTTCTCCAATGGTGATAGCTTCTTCTAGGCCTGAATGAAAATTTATGGCAAATTATTAAAAAAAGGAGGGCTGCAAAAACCAAAACAAAACGCGGTGCAATACAAGTGCGATGTGCATGGCGTAATTTTGGAATACGATAGGCGCGAAATGTATGTAGGTGAGGACCACGATAATTAAGGGAATTCATGAGCCAGGGGGAGCTCAACCAAC